ACGAAGACGGCAAGCCAAAGAAGAAGAAGATCCGCACTCGCGTTATCAAGAAGGTCAAGGGCGACAAACAAGAAGTCACAAAGATCGAAACGTCGAGGAAGATGACAAGCAACCCGAAACCACTGTACAGTTGAAGAACTTCCGTTTGAAGAAGCGAAGCCAGAGGAAATTCAAGAGCTTCCAGAAGAGGTTCGCGTCGTTGAAACCGTTACTGAAGACGGCAAGCCAAAGAAGAAGAAGATCCGTACTCGCGTTATCAAGAAGGTCAAGGGCGACAACAAGAAGTCACGAAAATCGAAACGGTCGAGGAAGATGACAAGCAACCCGAAACCACTGTAACAGTTGAAGAACTTCCATTTGAAGAAGAAAGCCAGAGGAAATACAAGAGCTTCCAGAGGAGGTTCGAGTGGTGGAAACCATTACCGGAAGAAGGCAAGCCAAAGAAGAAGAAGATCCGTACTCGCGTTATCAAGAAGGTCAAGGGTGACAAACAAGAAGTCACAAAGATCGAAACTGTTGAGGAAGATGACAAGCAACCACAAACAACTGTTTCAGTTTGAAGAATTTCCGTTTGAAGAAGAGAAGCCAGAGGAAATTCAAGAGCTTCCAGAGGAGGTTCGCGTGGTTGAAACCATTACCGAAGACGGCAAGCCAAAGAAGAAGAAGATTCGCACTCGCGTTATCAAGAAGGTCAAGGGCGACAAGCAAGAAGTCACGAAAATCGAAACGGTCGAGGAAGATGACAAGCAACCCGAAACCACTGTTACTGTTGAAGAACTTCCCTTTGAAGAAGAGAAGCCAGAGGAAATTCAAGAGCTTCCAGAGGAGGTTCGAGTGGTTGAAACCATTACCGAAGAAGGCAAGCCAAAGAAGAAGAAGATCCGCACTCGCGTTATCAGGAAGGTCAAGGGTGACAAACAAGAAGTTACAAGGATCGAAACTGTTGAGGAAGATGACAAGCAACCACAAACAACTGTTTCAGTTGAAGAATTTCCGTTTGAAGAAGAGAAGCCAGAGGAAACTCAAGAGCTTCCAGAGGAGGTTCGAGTGATTGAAACCGTTACTGAAGACGGCAAGCCAAAGAAGAAGAAGATCCGTACTCGCGTTATCAAGAAGGTCAAGGGCGACAAGCAAGAAGTCACGAAGATCGAAACCGTCGAGGAAGATGACAAGCAACCCGAAACTACTGTTACTGTTGAAGAACTTCCGTTTGAAGAAGAGAAGCCAGAGGAAATTCAAGAGCTTCCTGAGGAAGTCCGAGTTGTTGAAACAATTACGAAGACGGCAAGCCAAAGAAGAAGAAGATCCGCACTCGCGTTATCAAGAAGGTCAAAGGCAACAAGCAAGAAGTCACGAAGATTGAGACCATCGAGGAAGATGACAAACAACCCGAAACCACTGTTACTGTTGAAGAACTTCCGTTTGAAGAAGAAAAGCCAGAGGAAATTCAAGAGCTTCCAGAGGAGGTTCGAGTGGTTGAAACCATTACCGAAGACGGCAAGCCAAAGAAGAAAAAGATCCGCACTCGCGTTATCAAGAAGGTCAAGGGTGACAAACAAGAAGTCACAAAGATCGAAACTGTTGAGGAAGATGACAAGCAACCACAAACAACTGTTTCAGTTGAAGAACTTCCGTTTGAAGAAGAGAGGCCAGAGGAAATTCAAGAGCTTCCTGAGGAAGTCCGAATGGTTGAAACAGTTACAGAAGACGGCAAGCCAAAGAAGAAGAAGATCCGTACTCGCGTTATCAAGAAGGTCAAGGGCGACAAACAAGAAGTCACGAAGATCGAAACCGTCGAGGAAGATGACAAGCAACCCGAAACCACTGTAACAGTTGAAGAACTTCCATTTGAAGAAGAAAATCCAGAGGAAATTCAAGAGCTTCCAGAGGAGGTTCGAGTGGTTGAAACCATTACCGAAGACGGAAAGCCAAAGAAGAAGAAGATCCGCACTCGCGTTATCAAGAAGATCAAGGGCGACAAGCAAGAAGTCACGAAGATCGAAACCGTCGAGGAAGATGACAAGCAACCCGAAACCACTGTTACTGTTGAAGAACTTCCGTTTGAAGAAGAGAAGCCAGAGGAAATTCAAGAGCTTCCTGAGGAAGTCCGAGTGGTTGAAACAGTTACAGAAGACGGCAAGCCAAAGAAGAAGAAGATCCGTACTCGCGTTATCAAGAAGGTCAAGGGCGACAAACAAGAAGTCACGAAGATCGAAACCGTCGAGGAAGATGACAAGCAACCCGAAACCACTGTTACAGTTGAAGAACTTCCGTTTGAAGAAGAGAGGCCAGAGGAAATTCAAGAGCTTCCAGAGGAGGTTCGAGTGGTTGAAACCCTTACTGAAGACGGCAAGCCAAAGAAGAAGAAGATCCGTACTCGCGTTATCAAGAAGGTCAAGGGCGACAAACAAGAAGTCACGAAGATCGAAACCGTCGAGGAAGATGACAAGCAACCCGAAACCACTGTTACAGTTGAAGAACTTCCGTTTGAAGAAGAGAAGCCAGATGAAATTCATGAGCTTCCCGAGGAGGTCCGAGTAATTGAAACAGTTACCGAAGACGGCAAGCCAAAGAAGAAGAAGATCCGCACTCGCGTTATCAAGAAGGTCAAGGGCGACAAACAAGAAGTCACGAAGATCGAAACCGTCGAGGAAGATGACAAGCAACCCGAAACCACTGTTACAGTTGAGGAACTTCCGTTTGAAGAAGAAAAACCAGAGGAAATTCAAGAGCTCCCAGAGGAGGTTCGAGTTGTTGAAACCATTACCGAAGACGGCAAGCCAAAGAAGAAGAAGATCCGCACTCGCGTTATCAAGAAGGTCAAGGGCGACAAACAAGAAGTCACGAAAATCGAAACGGTCGAGGAAGATGACAAGCAACCCGAAACCACTGTAACAGTTGAAGAATTTCCATTTGAAGAAGAAAAGCCAGAGGAAATTCAAGAGCTTCCAGAGGATGTTCAAACTGTTGAAACCATTACCGAAGACGGCAAGCCAAAGAAGAAGAAGATCCGCACTCGCGTTATTAAGAAGGTCAAGGGCAACAAACAAGAAGTCACGAAGATCGAAACTGTCGAGGAAGATGACAAGCAACCCGAAACCACTGTAACAGTTGAAGAACTTCCGTTTGAAGAAGAGAAGCCAGAGGAAATTCAAGAGCTTCCAGAAGAGGTTCGCGTCGTTGAAACCGTAACCGAAGACGGCAAGCCAAAGAAGAAGAAGATCCGCACTCGCGTTATCAAGAAGGTCAAGGGCGACAAACAAGAAGTCACGAAAATCGAAACGGTCGAGGAAGATGACAAGCAACCCGAAACCACTGTTACAGTTGAAGAACTTCCGTTTGAAGAACAGAAGCCAGAGGAAATTCAAGAGCTTCCAGAGGAGGTTCGAGTGGTTGAAACCATTACCAAAGACGGCAAGCCAAAGAAGAAGAAGATTCGCACTCGCGTTATCAAGAAGGTCAAGGGCGACAAGCAAGAAGTCACGAAGATCGAAACCGTCGAGGAAGATGACAAGCAACCCGAAACCACGGTAACAGTTGAAGAAGTACCGTTTGAGAAAGAAACGCCGGAAGAAATTCAAGAGCTTCCAGAGGAGGTTCAAGTGGTTGAAACCGTAACCGAAGACGGCAAGCCAAAGAAGAAGAAGATCCGTACTCGCGTTATCAAGAAGGTCAAGGGCGACAAACAAGAAGTCACGAAGATCGAAACTGTCGAGGAAGATGACAAGCAACCCGAAACCACTGTTACAGTTGAAGAACTTCCGTTTGAAGAAGAGAAGCCAGAGGAAATTCAAGAGCTTCCAGAGGAGGTTCGCGTCGTTGAAACCGTTACCGAAGACGGCAAGCCAAAGAAGAAGAAGATCCGCACTCGCGTTATCAAGAAGGTCAAGGGCGACAAGCAAGAAGTCACGAAAATCGAAACCGTCGAGGAAGATGACAAGCAACCCGAAACCACTGTTACAGTTGAAGAACTTCCGTTTGAAGAAGAAAAGCCAGAGGAAATTCAAGAGCTTCCAGAAGAGGTTCGAGTGGTTGAAACCATTACCGAAGACGGCAAGCCAAAGAAGAAGAAGATCCGCACTCGCGTTATCAAGAAGGTCAAGGGCGACAAACAAGAAGTCACAAAGATCGAAACCGTCGAAGAAGATGACAGGCATCCCGAAACCACGGTAACAGTTGAAGAAGTACCGTTTGAGAAAGAAACGCCGGAAGAAATTCAAGAGCTTCCAGAGGAGGTTCGCGTCGTTGAAACCGTTACCGAGGACGGCAAGCCAAAGAAGAAGAAGATCCGCACTCGCGTTATCAAGAAGGTCAAGGGCGACAAGCAAGAAGTCACGAAGATTGAGATCATCGAGGAAGATGACAAACAACCCGAAACCACTGTTACTGTTGAAGAACTTCCGTTTGAAGAAGTGAAGCCAGAGGAAATTCAAGAGCTTCCAGAGGAGGTTCGCGTGGTTGAAACCATTACCGAAGACGGCAAGCCAAAGAAGAAAAAGATCCGCACTCGCGTTATCAAGAAGGTCAAGGGCGACAAACAAGAAGTCACGAAGATCGAAACCGTCGAGGAAGAGGACAAGCAACCCGAAACCACTGTTACAGTTGAAGAACTTCCGTTTGAAGAAGAAAAGCCACACAAAATTCAAGAGCTTCCAGAGGAGGTTCGAGTGGTTGAAACCGTTACCGAAGACGGCAAGCCAAAGAAGAAGAAGATCCACACTCGCGTTATCAAGAAGGTCAAGGGTGACAAACAAGAAGTCACAAAGATCGAAACCGTCGAGGAGGATGATAAGCAACCCGAAACCACTGTTACAGTTGAAGAACTTCCGTTTGAAGAAGAAAAGCCTGAGAAAATTCAAGAGCTTCCAGAGGATATTCGAGTGGTTGAAACCGTTACCGAAGACGGCAAGCCAAAGAAGAAGAAGATCCGTACTCGCGTTATCAAGAAGGTCAAGGGTGACAAACAAGAAGTTACAAAAATCGAAACCGTCGAGGAGGATGATAAGCAACCCGAAACCACTGTAACAGTTGAAGAACTTCCATTTAAAGAAAAAAAGCCTGAGGAAGTTCAAGAGCTTCCAGAAGAGGTTCGAGTGGTTGAAACCATTACCGAAGACGGCAAGCCAAAGAAGAAGAAGATCCGTACTCGCGTTATCAAGAAGGTCAAGGGCGACAAGCAAGAAGTCACGAAGATCGAAACCGTCGAGGAAGATGACAAGCAACCCGAAACCACGGTAACAGTTGAAGAAGTACCGTTTGAGAAAGAAACGCCGGAAGAAATTCAAGAGCTTCCAGAGGAGGTTCAAGTGGTTGAAACCGTAACCGAAGACGGCAAGCCAAAGAAGAAGAAGATCCGTACTCGCGTTATCAAGAAGGTCAAGGGCGAAAAACAAGAAGTGACGAAGATCGAAACCGTCGAGGAAGATGACAAGCAACCCGAAACCACTGTTACAGTTGAAGAACTTCCGTTTGAAGAAGAGAGGCCAGAGGAAATTCAAGAGCTTCCAGAGGAGGTTCGAGTGGTTGAAACCTTTACCGAAGACGGCAAGCCAAAGAAGAAGAAGATCCGTACTCGCGTTATCAAGAAGGTCAAGGGCGACAAGCAAGAAGTCACGAAGATCGAAACCGTCGAGGAAGATGACAAGCAACCCGAAACCACTGTTACTGTTGAAGAACTTCCGTTTGAAGAAGAAAAGCCAGAAAAAATTCAAGAGCTTCCAGAGGAGGTTCGAGTGGTTGAAACCATTACCGAAGACGGCAAGCCAAAGAAGAAGAAGATCCGCACTCGCGTTATCAAGAAGGTCAAGGGCGAGAAACAAGAAGTCACAAAGATCGAAATCGTTGAAGAAGATGACAAGCAACCCGAAACCACTGTTACTGTTGAAGAACTTCCGTTTGAAGAAGAAAAGCCAGAGGAAATTCAAGAGCTTCCAGAGGAGGTTCGAGTGGTTGAAACGGTTACCGAAGACGGCAAGCCTAAGAAGAAGAAGATCCGTACTCGCGTTATCAAGAAGGTCAAGGGCGACAAACAAGAAATCACGAAGATCGAAACCGTCGAGGAAGATGACAAGCATCCCGAAACCACTGTTACTGTTGAAGAACTTCCGTTTGAAGAAGAAAAGCCAGAGGAAATTCATGAGCTTCCAGAGGAGGTTCGAGTTGTTGAAACCATTACCGAAGACGGAAAGCCAAAGAAGAAGAAGATCCGTACTCGCGTTATCAAAAAGGTTAAGGGCGACAAACAAGAAGTCACGAAAATCGAAACGGTCGAGGAAGATGACAAGCAACCCGAAACCACTGTTACTGTTGAAGAACTTCCGTTCGAAGAAGAGAAGCCAGAGGAAATTCAAGAGCTTCCAGAGGAGGTTCGAGTTGTTGAAACCATTACTGAAGACGGCAAGCCAAAGAAGAAGAAGATCCGCACTCGCGTTATCAAGAAGGTCAAGGGCGACAAACAAGAAGTCACGAAAATCGAAACGGTCGAGGAAGATGACAAGCAACCCGAAACCACTGTTACAGTTGAAGAACTTCCGTTTGAGAAAGAAACGCCGGAAGAAATTCAAGAGCTTCCAGAGGAGGTTCAAGTGGTTGAAACAGTAACCAAAGACGGAAAGCCAAAGAAGAAGAAGATCCGCACTCGCGTTATCAAGAAGGTCAAGGGCGACAAGCAAGAAGTCACAAAGATCGAGACCATTGAGGAAGATGACAAACAACCCGAAACCACTGTTACTGTTGAAGAACTTCCGTTTGAAGAAGAAAAGCCAGAGGAAATTCAAGAGCTTCCAGAGGAGGTTCGAGTGGTTGAAACCATTACCGAAGACGGCAAGCCAAAGAAGAAGAAGATCCGCACTCGCGTTATCAAGAAGGTCAAGGGCGACAAACAAGAAGTCACGAAAATCGAAACGGTTGAGGAAGATGACAAGCAACCCGAAACCACTGTTACAGTTGAAGAACTTCCGTTTGAGAAAGAAACACCGGAAGAAATTCAAGAGCTTCCAGAGGAGGTTCAAGTGGTTGAAACAGTAACCGAAGACGGAAAGCCAAAGAAGAAGAAGATCCGCACTCGCGTTATCAAGAAGGTCAAGGGCGACAAGCAAGAAGTCACGAAAATCGAAACCGTCGAGGAAGATGACAAACAACCCGAAACCACTGTTACTGTTGAAGAACTTCCGTTTGAAGAAGAAAAGCCAGAGGAAATTCAAGAGCTTCCAGAGGAGGTTCGAGTGGTTGAAACCATTACCGAAGACGGCAAGCCAAAGAAGAAGAAGATCCGCACTCGCGTTATCAAGAAGGTCAAGGGCGACAAACAAGAAGTCACGAAAATCGAAACGGTCGAGGAAGATGACAAGCAACCCGAAACCACTGTTACAGTTGAAGAACTTCCGTTTGAGAAAGAAACGCCGGAAGAAATTCAAGAGCTTCCAGAGGAGGTTCAAGTGGTTGAAACAGTAACCGAAGACGGAAAGCCAAAGAAGAAGAAGATCCGCACTCGCGTTATCAAGAAGGTCAAGGGCGACAAGCAAGAAGTCACAAAGATCGAGACCATCGAGGAAGATGACAAACAACCCGAAACCACTGTTACTGTTGAAGAACTTCCGTTTGAAGAAGAAAAGCCAGAGGAAATTCAAGAGCTTCCAGAGGAGGTTAGAGTGGTTGAAACCATTACCGAAGACGGCAAGCCAAAGAAGAAGAAGATCCGCACTCGCGTTATCAAGAAGGTCAAGGGCGACAAACAAGAAGTCACGAAAATCGAAACGGTCGAGGAAGATGACAAGCAACCCGAAACCACTGTTACAGTTGAAGAACTTCCGTTTGAGAAAGAAACACCGGAAGAAATTCAAGAGCTTCCAGAGGAGGTTCAAGTGGTTGAAACAGTAACCGAAGACGGAAAGCCAAAGAAGAAGAAGATCCGCACTCGCGTTATCAAGAAGGTCAAGGGCGACAAGCAAGAAGTCACGAAAATCGAAACCGTCGAGGAAGATGACAAACAACCCGAAACCACTGTTACTGTTGAAGAACTTCCGTTTGAAGAAGAAAAGCCAGAGGAAATTCAAGAGCTTCCAGAGGAGGTTCGAGTGGTTGAAACCATTACCGAAGACGGCAAGCCAAAGAAGAAGAAGATCCGCACTCGCGTTATCAAGAAGGTCAAGGGCGACAAACAAGAAGTCACGAAAATCGAAACGGTCGAGGAAGATGACAAGCAACCCGAAACCACTGTTACAGTTGAAGAACTTCCGTTTGAGAAAGAAACGCCGGAAGAAATTCAAGAGCTTCCAGAGGAGGTTCAAGTGGTTGAAACAGTAACCGAAGACGGAAAGCCAAAGAAGAAGAAGATCCGCACTCGCGTTATCAAGAAGGTCAAGGGCGACAAGCAAGAAGTCACAAAGATCGAGACCATCGAGGAAGATGACAAACAACCCGAAACCACTGTTACTGTTGAAGAACTGCCGTTTGAAGAAGAAAAGCCAGAAGAAATTCATGAGCTTCCAGAGGAGGTTCGAGTGGTTGAAACCATTACCGAAGACGGCAAGCCAAAGAAGAAGAAGATCCGCACTCGCGTTATTAAGAAGGTCAAGGGTGACAAACAAGAAGTCACAAAGATCGAAACCGTCGAGGAGGATGATAAACAACCCGAAACAACAGTCACTGTCGAAGAGACCGATTTAAGTACTCCAATTGTGGGCAAAGTTAAACTAAAGAAAAGAATAATCGTTAAAAAGCCAGAAGATGAAGTAACGGTATTTGAATTGCCTGAGCGGAAATCAGTGATACTTTCAGAAAAAGAGGATGGAACTGCAACAAAAATGGTTATTAAAACAAAAATCATCAAGAAGATTCAAGGTTCGAACATGGAAGTTACAAAGGTTCAAACTGTTGAGGAGTATGAAAAAGCACCACAAACTAAAGTAACGGTTGAAAATTTTGATCTTCCATTCCCAGAACTTCCAGAAGAAAAAATTTCTGAAGTAGTAATTTTGCCTGATGAGGTGGTAGAGTCTAAAACTATTGATGAAAAAGGACTTCCAAAAATAATTAAAACCAAGAAGCGTGTCATTAAAAAACCTCTAATTGGAAATAACGAAGAAGTTACTGAGATAGGAATTGTTGAACAAGACAATACTGAGCCCATCTATTCAGTATCCATAAAAGAGCAGCCCTTAACGGATTTGACGCCAAATGACAGTAAATTAATTGAGCTGCCTGAACACCTGACAGAGTTGGTAGTTGTTACGCCTGATGGGACGAAAAAGAAAAAGACCGTTAAGTCTAGAGCTTTCAAAAAGAACATCGACCATGATCTTGATGAAGTTACAACTGTGCATATAATCGAGGAGGAAGATAAAGAGCCACTGACTACTGTTAAAATAGAAGTTGTGCCTGCTGACGAAATATCCATCACACCCATACCCATAGAAGAGCTTCCTGAGGAAACTGTGTTCACCGAAGAATTAGACGAGAATGAGAAGCCAACAAAGAAAACTACCAAAACACGAACATTTAAAAAGCGAGGTCCGGAGGACGACGAATATTTCCAAATTCAAACGGTTGATGAAGAGGGCAAGGAACCCGTCTCACTCATACGAGTTGTTAGCGATGAAAACATTGCTGATATTATCGATATTAGTAAGCTTGAAGATGAAAAAGTTTCGAAACACAAACAAAAGCCACACAAGCAGAAGGGTAAGAACACAAACAAACACACCATTCCAATACACATTCCACATAAAAGACTGCAATTGAAGTATACGCAAAAAATCTTTGCTTTTTCGTCATTTATTTCATAGATGTATTATTATATCTCTCTATTTTTATTTGACCTGTGATAAAGCCTTTTAATAACATATTTTCTTGATCATTCCACAAATCACAAACAAACATAAACACCTTAATATAGTGGAGAAACCAAAGGCCGCTAACACACAAACGGAACACCCAGTATACATCACGACATTTAAGTCTGTACAAAACGAAGATGGAGAAACAACCATACAAACTGAAAACAAACGAGTTTCACAGGAGGAAGGCATCGTTGTTGAGGAAGTCCTCAGTGATACAGAACTCATTCCAGAAGACACAACACAATCACACCTCGAAATTATTGAAGTCAGCGAGCCAACAGGTGATTTTTTCTCAAAATACACATTTTTATACATAACCAAATGACACTAGGAACCATTAATAAGATATTTGAGGTACAACTAAATTACATTCTTAATTAATAAGGTTGGGGACAGTAGAGATCAATTCCATTTTGTTATACATTTATATATACAGATTATACATTCCAAAAGGTGCATACAAACAAACATGATCGATATTCTGTGGAAAATATACATACTAACTACTTACCTAATTTACTCAAAAGTACGTGGGATTTAAAATTAAAACTATACCCAAAAAGCCTTAAACGTACGTGGGTGAATCTTTTACAAATTTAAAGATTGCTTACCGTTCAGTAAAAAAGGGTGGTAAACAAGAACAATCAGTATATTTTTAAATTTCTTTAAGTGTTAAAGTTTGTAAAAGAAGAACCCACATTTAAAATTTTAATAATTTTTTAACCCGTGCAACGCTAAACACCAAACTTTGCGCACCGAACAAAGTTTGTGTGGTACAAAGCATTATATAAAATGCAAATATATATGTAAAAATTAGTTTAGTGCTAACACAAAACACGTAATTCTTTTTTAAACAGACCAATACAACAAAGAATACACAATCACTGAACCTGAAGAGGCAAGTGCTGACGGCATAAAAAAACCAGCTAAAGACAAAAAACCAAAACAGAAAAAGACACTAGAAACTCCTATTGAGGAAGTTGACGAGACTATTGTTGTTGAAGAAAGTATAGGGGAACCGACTGACAAGACAGATAAGAAACGAAAGTCGAAAAAGGTTGAGGGTAACGTTGGAGAGATTATTGCTGATGAGAAACCAGTTGAAAAGAAGGAAAAACTAAAGAAAAAGAAAGTGGTGAAGTCAAAACGTGATGAAATGGATGACTATATCCAATTCCTAATACACCAAGAAATTCCAAAGACTGTACTTCAAGGTTACCAGCGTACGGAAATGGAACTTCCACAAAGGGCTCGTCGTGACTCGTCTTTCAAACAGCCGGTTAAGCTTACACCTATGAAAATCGAAAAAGTAGAATTTAAAAAGCCTAAAATGGTTGAAATAAGTTCTGTAGTTGAGTTTCCACAAATGCTTAAGCTTAAAGCTCCGAAGCAACGACCTCAGGAAGAGAAAAAGAGAAAAAACGAAGCATCTTTTAAGAACAAAAGATTAAAGAGCTGGATTAGGTTTATACCATATGCACCATATTGCTTCCCCTATGTTGTAACCGAATTGGAAACTAATCGCGATGTGGGGGAACTTTCACGAAATGTTGAAGAAGCCGAAAAGGTATTGAAATTGCGGCCGAGAAAATTCAAGCCTTCTAAGCCCGAAAAAACGGAACTAGAAGAAGCCGACCTGGAGCCTTTTGACTCTGAAAATTCAGAACCGTCTGATAAAGAGCAACCAAGGCCGAAGTACAAACGTACTAAAAAGTTAAAAGACGAAGTTCCGGAAGAAACTAGAAAGCTTAAGCTTGGAAAGGGTAAAATTCCACAAAATGTTGAGGCTGTTGAGGAAATTCGCTTGAAACCGGTTGAGCTAGGTATAGCAGAGGAAGAAGTTGGCGAAAAGCCAGTTAAGATGGTGGGAGAGGAAGTAATCAAAAAGAAGAAGACCAAAAAATCCGACAAGTCTGAAGATGGACTTTACTTTGAGCCCATTGACTTTAAGGATGTTGAAAGTTCCTTTGAGTTTCCAGAAGAGTCCGAAACATCCGCGACCGAGGAAACATTCACACAGGGGAAGCCAAAATACAAAAGGAAAAAGAAGCCGACTTCCAAACCAGAGAAAAACCAGTACGAAATAGCTCCCGGAAAACCAAAGGAACAAGAAGAAATCCCGGAGGATGAGCTTAAACTGCACAAGCGCCAGGGTGAAAAGCCTGATACTGAAGAGGAAAAGTTCAAGCTTAAACCATTCTATAAGTTCGAGGTGATAGAGATGGAGCCTGAAAACGTCCCGTCTGAAACGCTACCTACCACTGAAAAGCTTTCAAAGGAACCTAAGAAAAAGCGAAAGCTCAAGCTTAAGACGGAGCAAGAAGATAACACCATCGAAATCGTAGAAATATCTCCTGAGGGTAACGATGACAAAATCTTTGAAGTAACAGTCACAAGCTCTGAAATAGTTCAAGCTGACGAAAGGCCAAACAAAATACTTAAGAAGAAGGTAAAGCGAATGAACAAACAGGAACTGGATGACTTTGTCACAGAGCTAAAGGAAGAACCGGATCAAAAGTTCTATGAAACTAGCATGCATGACTTCTATGAAGTAAAGTTGACCGAGTTGCCGTCAGAAACGGAAAAACCTAAGAAGCGCCGGATACGTCTTGAAAAAGGAGATGATGTGGAAGTTCTGGAAATTGTCGAATCGGCTGTTGCTCCCGGTGAAGAAACACTCTATGAAATCACTGTAACTTCAACCGAAACAAACGAAGAAGAAGATGAAGCGAAGCCAGCTGAAAAACTTAAAAAGAAATCCAGGAAAATGAAGAAGGATGAGCTTGATGCCTATATTCAGCAATTGATAAACGCCGAGATCCCAGTTACAGAGCTGGAAAAATATGAGAAAATCGATGTAGATGGAAAGCCGAAAAAACCCAAGAAGCAAAAGGTCAAGCTTGAGAAGGCAATTATAGATGAAGGCGAAACTCTTCAAATTGGAGTCACAGAGCACGAGCCAATCGAAAAACCTAAATCAAAGAAACCAAAGTCAAAGAAAGCAATTAAGGAAGAAGAAACAGTTGAAACCGAGACAATTCCGGTATTCGATGAGTTTCTCATCAAAAAAATTGATTCTGAGCGTAGCTCAGACGAACGCATTAAACAAGCAGATGAGAAAATCTCTCTGGCTTTGGATGACATATTAGTAGATTTAAGTGAGTCTTTTCCCATTGTGGTAGTCGAGGAAGATCTTGAGTCAATTCCACTGGCTCCTAAAATAATTTCTATAACGGATGAGAAAATACTTAAGAAACGCACGGTCAAAACTAGAAAGGGTCCAAAGCAGTACGAAATTGAAATAATTGAAACCGATGCACAAAACGAGAAACCAGAAGAAGCAAAGGTTATAGTTATAACGACGGAAATTTCTGAAGATACAACCGACGGACCTGCGCTAGTTAAGCCGGAAGCACCAAAGAAATCCGTCAAGAAGGTGAAGAAAGATAATCTTAAGCAGTACATTGTCAACATTATCGAAGAAGCCCCATTGGAACACATCGTTGAAATATCTGAAGATACTAAATCAGCTTTAACCAGAGAAAGCCCATTGGAAGATAAAAATACTTCCTTTACCACGACAATAATTGAGGAGGAAACAGTTAAGCCTTTCGTACCCGAAGAAACAAAGTCTGAAGATGTTGCTAGTATTCCTAAAGACAAGAAAAAGAAAACTGATAAACAGAAAAGGATAAAAATATCTGAAGTTGAACCTTCTCCGAGTTCGGAAGATTCGATACCCACAGAATATTCAGCAAAGCTCTTAGAACCTGAGGAAATTCCGCAAGCGGATGATTATTCGATAGAGGTAAAAGATAGTTTGCCAAAGGCTAAACAGAAAACGACAAAGAAACCCCAGAAGAAGTCTACCGCTGAGCCCATATCCGAATATACAATTCGAGTAGAGGAGCTCGCTCCGGAAACTGCTACCGAAAAAATAGTAAACGAAGAAGGTACGGAAGTTGAACGAGTCATATCCAAACGAAAAATCAAAAAGAAGGAGGGACCAAAGGAATATCTTATTGAAGTTGTTGAAACATATGAAGAGAATAAACCCGAAGCAGATATTGTCATCCAGACTACTGAAATAACTCCATCAATTGACTCAACCCCTCAAGAGAACCACAAGGTGAAGATTGTCAAAGAGAAGAAACCAAAATCTGAAAGCTTGGACAATTATATTCAAAAACTGATAGAAGAGGAAATTCCTAAATTGGATCTTGAAGAACATGAAGCTAATGTATTAGAGACATCTCCAGAGGCCAGAAAGCCCAAGAAAATCAAGAAACATCACAAAAAATCGACCCAGATTGTCGACGGCATACCGATTACTGTGCACGAGGTAATAATACGAGAATTCGAGCCCGATCAAGAAGACTTTGAGCCGCAAGAGGTCATTGTGGAAGACTTTGATCGTGAGGATACAAAAGAAGCTCCCAAGGATGTAACAACAAAGGTCTTAGAAGAAAAACCTAAGCCAAAATCGAAAAAATTGTTAAAGGCCAAGGTTGTGGAAGAGGAACTGCCGCAACCAGTTATTAAGGACATTTCGGAGGTTGTACAACTTGTACAAGTAACTGAAGAAGATGGCACAGCAAAGCAGGTTGAAATTAAGAAGAAAAAAATTTCTTGCAAGCGAGGTCCGAAGGAACAAATCTTTGAAATCACCGAAAGAAAAACTAGTGATGAGCCTTTGGCCGAAGTAACTATTGTCGAGGTAACAGAAGAACAGCCTTTAGAAGAATTCCAAGTACTGAAAAAGAACAAACCAATTAAAAAACCAAAGAAAGTGAGACTTGAAGATATCAAAAACTATGTCATTAATGTTCTAGAAGAGTTTTCTGAGCCCAATCGAATCGAAGAACTTGTGGAGGGCGACGACGACAGGACACAACCATTTATTGAAGACATTTCTGAGGTTGTCAAAGTTGAAGAAGTTATAAAAGAAGATGGCACAACAAAGCGGGTTGAAATTAAGAAAAAGAAGGTTTCCCGAAAAGAAGGTCCAAAGGAACAAATCTTTGAAATCACAGAGACAAAAACAAGTGATGAACCATTGGCTGAAGTAACTATTGTCGAAGTTACAGATGAGAAACCTAAAGAAGAGATTATTCTACCTAAGGAAAAGAAAACAATAAAGAAGCCGAAAAAACTTAAGCCAGAAGATGTCAAAAGCTATGTAATTAATGTTCTAGAGGAGTATAACGAGCCGCAAAGGTTTGAGGACACCGAGGAACCAGTCATTGAAGATGTTTCTGAGTCCGTGGAAACTCAAGTTACAGAAGATAATGGCGTTACCAAGCAGGTTGTGGTTAAGAAAAAGAAGGTTTCCCGCAAGCAAGGTTCCAAGGAACAAATATTTGAAATCACTGAGACGAAAACTAGTGATGAGCCATTGGCTGAAGTAACTATTGTCGATGTTACAGATGATAAGCCTAATGAAGTAACTCTTCTACCTAAGGAAAAGAAACCGAAAAAACTAAAGCCTGAAGACGTCGAAAGCTATGTAATTAATGTTCTAGAGGAGTTTAATGAGCCTAAGAGGTTTGAGAAGACCGAGGAACCAGTCATTGAAGACATTGCTGAGTCCGTGGAAATTCAAGTTATAGAAGATGATGGCGTTACCAAGCAAGTTGAGGTTAAAAAGAAGAAGGTTTCCCGCAAGCAAGGTCCCAAAGAACAAATATTTGAAATCACCGAGACGAAAACCAGTGACGAGCCATTGGCTGAAGTAACTATAGTCGAGGTTACAGATGATAAGCCTAAAGAAGTAACTCTTCTACCTAAGGAAAAGAAAACAATAAAGAAGCCGAAAAAACTAAAGCCTGAAGAGGTCGAAAGCTATGTAATTAATGTTCTAGAGGAGTTTAATGAGCCTAAGAGGTTTGAGAAGACCGAGGAACCAGTCATTGAAGACATTGCTGAGTCCGTGGAAATTCAAGTTATAGAAGATGATGGCGTTACCAAGCAAGTTGAGGTTAAAAAGAAGAAGGTTTCCCGCAAGCAAGGTCCCAAAGAACAAATATTTGAAATCACCGAGACGAAAACTAGTGATGAGCCATTGGCTGAAGTAACTATAGTCGAGGTTACAGATGATAAGCCTAAAGAAGTAACTCTTCTACCTAAGGAAAAGAAACCAATAAAGAAACCGAAAAAACTAAAGCCTGAAGAGGTCGAAAGCTATGTAATTAATGTTCTGGAGGAGTTTAATGAGCCGCAGAGGCTTGAGAAGATCGAGGAACCAGTCATTAAGGATATTGCTGAGTCCGTGGAAATTCAAGTAATAGAAGATGATGGCGTTACCAAGCAAGTTGAGGTTAAGAAGAAGAAGGTTTCCCGTAAGCAAGGTCCCAAGGAACAAATATTTGAAATCACCGAGACGAAAACTAGTGACGAGCCATTGGCTGAAGTAACTATAGTCGAGGTTACAGATGATGAGCATAAAGAAGTAACTCTTCTACCTAAGGAAAAGAAACCAATAAAGAAACCGAAAAAACTAAAGCCTGAAGAGGTCGAAAGCTATGTAATTAATGTTCTGGAGGAGTTTAATGAGCCGCAGAGGTTTGAGAAGATCGAGGAACCGGTCATTAGGGATATTGATGAGTCCGTGGAAATTCAAGTTATAGAAGATGATGGCGTTACCAAGCAGGTTGAGGTTAAGAAGAAGAAGGTTTCCCGTAAGCAAGGTCCCAAGGAACAAATATTTGAAATCACCGAGACGAAAACTAGTGACGAGCCATTGGCTGAAGTAACTGTTGTCGAGGTTATAGATGATAATATTGTTTTACCTAAGGAAAAGAAACTATTAAAGAAACCGAAAAAACTAAAGCCTGAAGACGTTGAAAGCTATGTTGTTAATGTTCTAGAGGAGTTTAGCGAGCCTCAACAGTATGAAGAGGTAGAGCCTACTGAGGAAGAACCATACGAAACTATAATCAAAACCAAGAAGCCAAAGAAGCCGACCGAAAGACCTCTTGAAACGACTATTTATATTGAAGATGTAGCTCCTGAAACTGTTATAGAGAATGTGGTAAACGAAAAGGGCGAGGAAGTTAAACAAGTAAAAACAACCAAGAAACTTAAGAAAAAGGAAGGTCCAAAGGAGTATCTCATTGAAATAACAGAAACCTATCAAGAGAATAAGCCTGAGGCCGAGATCGAATTCACTACAACAGAGTTACCTTTAGAGGACTCACCAGATGTCAAAAATGATCAGCCATTCAAAATTATTCAAAAGGTTAAGAAGAAGAAGCCAGTTAAGGACGATCTTGATAAATACATACAACAGTTAATTGAACAGGAAATCACAAAAACACCTCTAGAAGAATATGAACCAACAGAAATGGATTCAACGCCCAAACAGCCTAAGAAGAAGGTAAAGACTCATCACAAAAAGACAATTAAAGATGTTGATGGGTTACCAATTACCATTCACGAATTCGATGTTGAGGAAGTATTACCCGAACCTGAGGATACGGATAAGGAAGAAGAAATGTTGGAGGAAGTCGAGGAAGTACCACAACAGCCAGACGATTCTTCAAAGTACCTTGTAAGCATTTCCGATGAATTTGTGGAAGCTGATAAGCCAATCGAAAAATCTCCTGAGAAGAAACAAAAACCAATTAAAAAAGAAAAACCATTAAAAAATAAGTTGGTCGTTGAGTCTCCTGCTCCATTGGAAGAAATGGATCGCACTGTTGAAGTCGTTACGCAACCCACTGAAGAGGGAACTGTAAAAAAAGTAACTGTCAAGAAACGAAAGGTATCGCGAAGAAAGGGATCTAAAGAGCACGTCTTCGAAATTACGGAAACAACAAGTGATGATCAGCCTACGGCCGAAGTTACAGTAGTCGAGTTGACCAGCGATGATATATTAGTTTCCGAAGAAAATCCAAAGCCGGAAAAAAAGATTGTTAAAAAGCCAAAACAATTAAAGAAAGACGAAATTGAGGAATACATCATTAATATTATAGATGAATTCGTACAGCCGGTTGCAGTTGACGTAGTTGAAAGTGAAGTAGAAGAAGTGAAGAAGGAAACAACTAAGAAACCAAAGAAATCTCAGAAAACTTACGCAGTCACTGAAGAGGAACACACAGAAAGCCAGGTGCCTAAAGTGGCTAAGGAAGATTTCGAGCAACCGATTGAGTCCGTTCCAGAGAAGCCAACAGAACCTGTTGAATATACAATCGGTATAGAAGAAAAAACTGTGGCTGACGAAAAGCTACAACCCAAGCCAAAAAAGCTAACCAGGCCCAAGACCGTTAAGCAGCCTGCAGTGGAAGAAAGCCATGACTATATTGTAAGGGTGAATTTTGAAGAAAACCTAGATGAAGAGCCAATCCCTGAACATGAAGCAGTCGTGATTGAAGCTGAAGAAGATAAACCAACTGAGCAACCAGCTTTCCAAGTAGACGAAATTGAAACCGAGGCAGTAGAAAAGGAAGTAATCGATGATAAGGGCGAAGCGGCAAAGCAAACTGTTACCAGACGTAAAATAAAAAAACAGGTTGGCAACAAGCAAGAAATAATCGAAATCGTGGAAACTAAGACGGGAGATACTCCAGAGTATGAAGTCATTGTCACGACTGAAGAGCCAGAAACAATTAACGAAGAAGTTCCACAGGAGGAAAAACAAAAGAAAATTCGTAAAGCCAAAAAGGTTCCGAAAGACGATCTTCATGACTATATTCAGAAACTTATTGAGCAGGATATACCAAAAACCGAACTGGAAAAATATGAAAAGATCGACTTGGACGAGCCAGTCAAAATGAAGAAGAAACCTATCAAAAAGTTTAAGCATTCTGAGGAAAAGCCAACAGAAGGCGCTGAACAGCCGGTTGAGGATAAGCCTGTTGAGGAGATTTCGGAAATTCATAAAGTTGAAAAGGACGAGCCGAAGCTCACGGTTACTTTAACGGAATTTCTTCCGGAAAAGCCAGCAGAAACGCCTTTTGAAATAGTGGTCCTTGAAGAAACGGTAGAAACCAAGCAGGTGCCAGATGATGAGGGAATAGTAAGGGAAAAGGTGGTTAAAACTAAAAAGATAAAGCAGAAGATGGGTCCTGAAGAAATAGTTCACGACATAGTCGAGGTAACTGATAAGGATACAAACGAATCTGAAGTAACAGTCACAACCACCACTCCAAAGGAGACTTCTGATCGAGAAGAGCCTTTAGTAAAACATAAACGGACCAAGAAGGTTAAGAAAGACGAAGTCGAAGACTTTATTATGGCAGTTATTGAGGATGAGACACCTAAGACGAATGAACCCGAAGACGTAGTTGCCGTTATAGATGAGTCCAGTCTTAAACCAACTTCGGAGAAGACAAGGAAAAAGCCAAAGAAAGAAAAACAACCTTTAGTTGAGGCTACTGTGCCTGAAGACAATGCAGTTTCCGTCATCGAGAATATTTCGGAGGATTCTCCAGTTAGTGACGATCTTATAACTGTGGTGGAATCAGTTCCACTCGTAGAAGAGCCTGAACTGAAAATAAATCAGGTTGAGGAAACTAAGAAACCAGAAAAGAAAAGAAAGCCAAAGTCATCAGTTTTAATTCAAGAGGACCAACCGGTAGTTGAAACTGAAGAACAGCCTTCAAAGGTTACACAGAAGGAATCTGACACTGAAAAACCAGATGCTCGCGAATTTAGTGTTTCAATCAAAGAGGAAGAACTTACAGAGCCCAAACCTGAAAGCAAGAAGGCTCCTAAAAAAGTATCAGAAAAACCAGACCATCCCTCTGAGAAAAATTTCAAAATTTCGGTTAACGAAAGTGTTTTGGAACCTGAAGAAGAAAAGCCTTTTACAATTCAGGTAATTGAAAGCGAAACAAAGGTTGAAGAAACCAAAGATGACACTGGTGAAACTCATAAGCAGGTTACCACCAAGCGAAAGTTGAAACGACCTGACGGTGAAGGTGAAATAGAGATTATTGAAGTTCTTAGAGACGATCAGCCTGAGGCGGAAATAACCATTGTAGAGTATGAACCAGAACCTGAAAAGCAAGACGAAAGACCCAGGGAACCCAAAAAGAAAACGAAAAAGGTCAAGAAGGATGACCTTCATGACTACATACAAAAGTTAATTGAAATGGAAACGCCCAAGACCGAGCTTGAAAAGTATGAGAAAATAGAATTTGAGCCGACTGTCAAGGACAAACCAGTAGATGACTTGATTGATATAGTTGAAAGAACTCCTTCTGAAAAGCCGAAAAAAGAAAAGAAGAGCAAATCCAAAGAAGTTCCAAAGGAGGAAAGTCCCGTTCCAGAGCAGTTGGTTGAAGTCAAAGTGGTCGAAGAGGAAGCTCCTGAGCAACCTCAAATACCAGTTGAAATTGTAGAAGTTCAACAAGTTGAGGTACATGTTCAAGAGGTTGTTACTGAAGAAGGCAAGCCGGTTCAGGAAAAAACTACCAAGCGAGTTTTGAAGAAGAAGGGACCTGAAGAAGAAACCACGTTCAAGATTACAACAATTGAAAGCGAGGATAACGACTCAGTGACGGTTATCGTTGATGAGGAACCAGAAATAGCGCCCGTACAGTCCATCGAAGAGCAGCCACAGCAGGCTGATGAAAAACCGAAGTCAAAATCCAAGAAAACAGTAAAGAAGATTAAGAAGGACGACTTAGACGATTATGTAAAGAAACTAATTGAAGAGGAAATACCCAAGGTAGCGCTTGAGAAGTATGAAAAGGTAGAAATGCCAGAGAAATCTGGTAAAATAGCTCCTTCTGAAAGTATTCCAGAAGAGACAAAATCTGAGACAACCGAGCCAACAACAAATGTCACCGACTTAACCAAACCCAAGAAATCTAAGACTCATAAACCAAAGACAGAAGCCGTAGACCAAACAGAACCTGACGTACCGACAGAGACTATTTTAGACATCACTGACACAGCAGAAATCACACCAACCCAATTTGCACAACCCGAGGACACAGCCACTGCACAAATTACACCAAGCGCACAAGAAGAGAAACCTACTCAAGATGACACTAAAGATACAATTCAGAAAACAGTTAAACATAAGAAAACAAAACCAGACACACAAAAAAGCGTTGAAACAAGTAAGTTATTAGAAGAGAGTTTTTGGAGCCTACAAAATCCCGCCGCCCTTGCAGCACCTTCTGTTCCTTTGTCTGTGTCCTTCGCATTTATTTATTTCCCTTGAAACCTCGTTGATTTTCAATTGTTGCGCCTATTCCCTCCTATATTTCTCTTCTTTTCTCTCGCTGTCGAATTTCGGCTCTATAAATTTGAGTCAATATTTTTGCGGTGCTAATCTCTTCCAGTTCAACTTTAAAGCCTCCCAACACAGTAACTCTATAAAATATTCTCGTATGCATGATTAACGATTGTAACCTTAAAGTAGTATAGAAATTCTGTTAAGACTCATATATTTGCCGTTAATTATTCGTTCGCTTCCTTTAGTTATAGATAAATAACGGCAACATATATAACTTTATGCACATGTAGAAACTAGTATCAATTATAAATTCACACTAATCTTCCAATCGCTATGTAATCCGTTGTTCACCTATATATTCCTTCATTATACAATTAATTTAATTACCATACCTACTTACCACCATATTAAAACTGTAATTTTGTAACTGTTTTTATTTTTAAGCTATTGACTTTAATCCTTTCTTTTGGTTAAGTTTTTAAATGTTTTCCTTCAACTGCTATTTTTGTAAATATAGCTTCAAATTATGTCTTCTGTCCAGTTCACCGATATGCTTGCTTTGCAAAAGCAATGCACGGTTCCCCGGGTTTAACTCCCTTATTTAGCACAATTTATTTAAACTTTAATGCATTTTTCATAACAGGTGAACTACCAGAGGTTCAGAAAGACTATGAAATAAACATTATTCATGAAGAGCCCATCGAGGAAGATCAACCCCAAAAGATTTTAGAGGTTCGAGTTATCGATGAAGTCGCAGAGGTCGAAGAATCACAGCCCATTGTGGAAGAGGTTGAAGAGGAGGAAGAACAGCCCGCTACAGAAGGAACTGTTGAGGACGTTACCAAGCCTAAGACTAAAAAGAAGAAGATTGTCAAAAAGAAGACGGATGACCATGACGAACTCATCAAAAAGATGTTGGAGCAGGAAATTGAGAAGACGGAATTGGAGAAATACGAGAAAATTGAATTCGATGTTCCCAAGAAACTCAAACCGGAATTCGCCACTCTTGAGCCAATAAAAATCGAGCGCAAGGAACAAAAGCCGACAAAGGTAACAATTGTCGAGGCTGCTGATGTCCCCAAAACCGTTAAGCTTAAGCCCGGTAAACGTAAGGAGAAACCAGCCGAGGAGCAGACTGTTCAACTGCCCAAGTTCAGACTCAAGGCCCGTATGGCCATGGTTGAATACCCTCCGGCTCCGCAAATTCCGAAGATAACTGATATTGGAGCCATTAAAGATAACGGTGAACTATCTCGTAATATTGAAGAGGCTGAAGAAGTCCTAAAGTTCAAGCCGCGTAAGACTAAGAAAATAAAGAAAATCAAGGATGATTTAGAAAAGGTGGAACTTGAAAAGTATGAAAAATACGTCAGTAGTGAAGAAGAACCGGAGGAAAAGGCGCCTTATAAGAAACCTGAAAAGGCACCAAAGCCAGAGGAAAAACAAGAGGAAGTAAAGCTCAAACTGGGCAAGGGTAAGAAAAAACCAAAGGAGGAAGACGAGCCCGAAACTGTTACTCTCAAAAAGATTCCGGAAAAGCCACAAGAACTCGAAGAAGAAGTTGCTCTGAAACCTAAACCAAAGGAGGTGGTTGTTGTTGAAGAACAACCAAAGGAACCCAAGGAAGGAGAGTTTGTTGTAGAGCCATTCGAGCCATCTGAATTCGATAGTCCTGAATATGTGCCCGAGGAGCTAGAGCGAATTGAACATCCAGAGAAGCCCGATAAACCCAAAAAGCCAACTAAGACAAAATACAAACCTAAAGATAAGTCAAAGCCCGAACCGGAAACAATTATTTCGGAGATCGTTCCAGGAGTACCAAAGGAGGAAGAGGAAATACCCGAAATGGAAGTAAAGTTCCGCAAGCCCCAGGGAGATGCTCCAGAAGAGACTGACTCAAAAATAAAGCTAAGTCCCGTCCCTCAGACTCCTAAGGCCGAAGAACCCATCCAGCAAGCACTCGTTAAGCCAAAGGAAGAGGAACCCAAGCCTGAAGAAATTCCAGAGAAATCAGAGGATGAGGAAAAGAAGCCAAAGAAATCAAAGCCTAAAAAGGTGCAACCAAAGGAGGAAGACATTTCTGTGCAGAAGCCAGAAGAGTTCGAGGTTTTGGTGAAAGAAGAGGAAGCTCCAGTGGAGAAAGTCGTCGAAACCGAAAAGCCAAAGGAAGTGAAGGTGAAACAGAAGAAGCCTAAGGAAACACCTGTTTCGGAAGTCGTCGTCTCTGAAGAAGTGCCGGAACCTAAAGAAGTGCCCGAGGAGATACCAGTGGAGTACAAGATAACAACCACAGTTTTGGAGCCAGAGGAGGCACCAAAGGAGCATCAAGTCCGAGTCATTGATTTCGATGAGCGTCGAGAAACTACCGAAGAAGTAATTGAAGAAAAGGTGGTGACGCGCAAGAAGAAACCTAAGCCACAGCAGCCGGAAGAGTTTGAAGTCACTTTGAAGGAGCCGAAGGAAGTAGAAGTAGAGCCCGAAGAAGTTTCTGCTGAAATCTCGCTGCCAGCTGAGCAACCTGAACAGAAGCCAGAAGAGTTTGAGGTTGAACTTAAACTGACTGAGTCTACCCCGGAAGAGCCGGTTGAACAGAAAGTCTTAGTCAAAGAAAAGAGCAAGAAGAAACCTGTAAAAGAAGTGAAGGAGGATAAGATTGTAGTCGTGGAAGAAGAAGAAAAAGCCCAACCAGTTGAGGAGGCAGTTGTGGAGGTCGAGAAACAGGAAGAAAAGAAGAAGATGAAGAAGCCGAAGTCCTATGAGTTCAAGATCACTGAAACCGAAGCTGTTGAAGAGAAGCCAGCCGAAAATGTAGAGGAAACTCTTGAAGAAATACCGGAGGTCGTAGAGGAAAAGATTGTCGAGAAGTTTGATTCTTATGAAATCACTCTTAAGGAAACTGAAGCAGAAAAGGTGGTGCCAGTCGAAGAACAGCTCGAGGAAGAAGCTCCTGAAGAGATTGTTTTCAAGAAAAAGCCCAAGGAACCTGAAACAGTTGAGGCCGAGTTTGTAATAACTGAACCAAAGGTCACAGAAGAAACGACTGTGGAAACTGCAATCAAACAGAAGAAGACCAAAAAGCCGAAGAAAACCGAAGAAGAAGCTCAGTTAGAAATTAAGGTTGTCGAATCCGAAGCCCCTGTTCCCGAAGAAGTGTTGATTGAAGCTCCTAAGAGTGATATTGTAAAGCAGGAAGAAGTTGTTGTGGAAGAAAAGCAAGAGGAGTTCAAAATTCGAATTTCGGAAACTGGAGCTAAGCCCGAAGAACCAAGTGAGGCACAGTTTACTGTTAAGAAACGCAAGCCTTCTGTTACTTTCGCCGACGAGCCCGCAACTGAAATCATTCTTAAGGAAAGCAAGCCCATTGAAGAAGTTACTGAGGAAGCTCAAATCAAGACCAAGAAGCCAAAGAAGAAGGTCAAGGAAGTGGAAGCTGAGGAATTAAGGATTCAGATAACCGAGGAGATTCCGCAAGAAGTTCCCATAGTTGAGGAAATCGAGGAGGAAGAGGTGATCACAAAAGTCAAGGAAGAAGTACCGTTGGTTCAAGAGAAGACTTATACAATTGGCATCAAAGAAACGGAGCCAGAGAAACCTGCAGAAGTGATTGTCGAAAAAGAGCCGGTGGTAACTGAACCAATTGTGGCAGAGCCGCAACCAGAAATCTTCGAAGAACATAAGGTTAGAGTCATTGAGGAAACTCCCCGTGAACTGGTTGAGGAAGTCATCGAAGAGGAGGTCAAGGTTATTCGCAAGAAGAAGCCAAAGCCAACAATTAAGGAGGAACCCGAGGCGGAAGTTACTGTCTCTGCTCCCAAGCCTGTTGATGAAGTGGAAGCTACGACCAGTATTGCCGTTGTTCCAGAACAACCGACCGAGGAGGAGGCCGCTGATCTCAAGATCACAATCATTGAAGAAGTGGCACCACCACAAGAACTTGTCCAAGAGATTGAAGAAATTGAAGTCGTCGAGGAACCAAAGGTCCCAGAAGAAAAACCTGAGGACTTCAGTTTTGCCATAAAGGAGACAGAAAAGGAAACCACTGTAGAAGAGCTGCCGGAAGAACAGGTCACGATCCAAAAGAAAAAAAGAAGGCACCAGTAGCCGAGGTAATCGAAGAGCCTGAAGCTGAGTTCTTAGTTAAGCCGAAGCAGCCAGTACAAGAAGTTACCGAGGAAGCCAAGATCAAGAAGAAGTCTAAAAAACCTTTAAAGGAAGAAGAGGCAGCTGCAGAACTTAAGGTAACTATCACCGAGGAAGTTCCGGCAGAGACAGAAGTTCATGAAATCATTGAGGAAGTTGAAGAAGTCGTGGAAGAAATTCCCACTGAGTATAAGATTGGCGTTAAGGAAACTCAGCCGGAAGTTGTAGAGGAAGAAGAAGTCATCTTACCGAAAAAGAAACCGAAGGCTGTTCCCGTTGTTGAAGAACCCGAAGCCGAAGTAACTCTGAAACCAAAGCTAAAGGTCGAAGAAGTTCAGGAAGAAGCTAAGATTGTTAAGAAGAAGCCAAAGAAGCCTGTCGAAGAGGTAGCAGCTGAGGAGCTTACGGTCAAGGTTGAGGAAGAAATTATCCCTGAGCCAATCGTGGAAGAAGAGGTGATCGAAGAAGTCCAGATCAAAAAGAAACCAGAAAAGCCTGAGCCAGAGGACATTGTCGATGCAGCGGTTGTGAAACTAAGGAAACCAGAGCCAGCAGAGGCAGAGGAAGTGGTGGCTGAAGTCACCCTGAAACCCAAGGCCCCCAAGGAGGTTACCGTAGAGGAATTCTCTGTTGATGTTAAGCTGCCGGTAGAGAAAAAGGTTACTGAGGAAACTTCTGACCAAACTGTACAGCTCAAGAAGAAGAAGAAGCCACAGAAACCAGTGGAGGAGGCTGCGGATGAGCTAAAGCTCCAGCAAACTGTTGTCGAAGAAAGGCCCGTGGAAATTGAAGAAGAAGAGATCGTTGAAGAAGCTGTTGTTATTCGCAAGAAGCCAAAGAAGCCATTCGAGCCATCGGTTGAAGATCTCGAAGAAACTGAGTTCAGTCTTTCCTTCAAAAAGCCCCACACTATTAACGAGGGCGTGGAGGAGGCTGCAACAGTGCTGAAAAAACGACCAGTCAAGCCCACCACTCTCGATGAAGCTGCGGCTGAGCTTTCCATTAAGCGTCAAGAAGAAGAATACGAAGAGGGCGATGATGTCGAAGAGTTCGTCGTCAGTCAGCCAAGAAAGCCAAAGCCTTTGCAGATCACAGAAGAAGATGAGGAGGCCTATACGGTGAAGAAACTTAAGCGTCGCAAGCAAGTAGACATTCCCGAATACGCTGATGTTGAAAACGTCACATTCCGTGCCAGAAGTACCAAGACCAAGGAAGATGTCGATCAGGAGTTCAACATTGCCCTGGACTCTTATGCCGAGGAGGAGATTTCTATGTCTGGAAAGATTAAGCTTAAAAAGCCGATAAAGAAGACCTTCTCTGAAGCAGCCGACGAGGCCAAGATCAGGATCATTCAGGACTACGACGACGGTGAGGAGCCCATCATCGAAGAAATTCGAGACGATGAGGATACTATCGATGAAGTCGAGGAACCAGAAGAATACTTTGTTGAGGAATTACCACCAGACGAAGTGGACTTTAAGTTGAAGCCAAGGAAGCAGCCAAAGCCAGCCTATTCCGTTCAAGATGAGGAGGAAGAACAGTTCCTAATTGGCATTCGTCATCCGAAACGCGATTCGGTGACCTACGATGAGGATTCTCTAACCTTTAAGAAGAAACGTAAAGTTGTTCAACAACTTTTCAATGAAGGTAAGTCGTTTTTTGTCAGCAATAACGGTAATTTACATACAAATCAAAATGCTTTACTTTTACAAAAATAAATATCAGCTTATATGATATCAGAGTGGCAAGGTAAAAATACCCAACTTGAATGTCGGTTGCTAACGCTTAACCATTCATTGTTCACAACTTAAAACAAATAATTAAAATTATTTCGAGAGAAGATATTAATAATGTTCAATCTTTACACAGATGGAGCTTCGCTTAATATAACCAGAGAAATGAATGTTGAAGGTATGTTGTCATATTGTGAAGGACATTTTTACATATAAGTAATATATTTTTTTATACATTTTAGAATCCGACAATCAAAATGTTATGTATTCCATCTGCAATTATATTGCCGACAACGATGAGGCTATTAACCTAGTAGAGGGTGAGAAGGTAACAGTCGTTGGACGACACAGCTCTGAGTGGTGGTATGTCAAGAAGAGCATTACGGAAGAGGAAGGCTGGGTTCCAGCTCAATATCTGATGGAGCCCGAAGAATACGCGCAGTATGTGCAAAACAAATTGCATGAGAAAATTGATAAGCTGCCTGTGTTTGAACGTAAGTTATTGTCTTTACCAAAGGTAAAAAAGGAATATTTGTTAGCCTAAACACTGTTTCGTCGCCGTCTACGTTTTGTCATTAACCAATTATTTTATGTTTTGTTGTGATTGTGAACTGTTAAGGTCCTGGACCGGAAGACAAGCCCATTGCCCCGAGATTCATTGAGAAACTGCAGCCGATTCATACACCCGATGGCTACACGGTGCAATTCGAGTGCAAGGTCGAGGGAAATCCACGTCCACAGATTGCCTGGTTCCGCGAAACTGCCATTATCAAACCCTCACAGGACTTCCAAATGTTCTACGATGACGATAATGTGGCTACTCTGATTATTCGCGAGGTGTTCCCCGAGGATGCTGGCCAGTTCACAGTTGTAGCCAAGAATGCAGCTGGATTTACTTCTAGCACAACGGAACTGATTGTAGAGAGTCCACTTTCGGATCACGGATCCGATGCCACAGCCCTCTCACGTCGCAGCATGTCACGTGAATCCTCGCTGGCTGACATTTTGGAGGGCATTCCACCAACCTTCTCCAAGAAACCAAAGGCTCAGTATGTCGACGAGAACACGAATGTGATCCTTGAGTGCCGACTGGTGGCCGTGCCAGAACCGGACATTGTCTGGACTTTCAATGGTGAAGACATTGACGAGGAGGAGATTAAGAACGTTCGCATCGTTACCGAATCGGACATGCACATGTACTGCAGTGTGGTGCACATCACCAAGGTGAAGAAGTCGCAGGAGGGAACCTATGAGGTGATTGCCACCAATCGCGAGGGCGAGGCACGTCTGCCCATCACCCTGAAGGTACGAACCACTGACAAGGAGGCTCCGCAGATCCTGGAACCCTTGCGCAACATGGTCATACGTGAGGGCGAGAGTGTGGTATTGTCCACCCAGATAGTGGGCAACCCACCACCAAAGGTAACCTGGTACAAGGATGGCAAGCCTGTTAAGAATGCCAAGTCTGATAAGGATTTGCATACCCTAACACTGATCACACCCAAAAAGTCTGAGAAGGGTGAATACACGGTCAAGGCTGTTAATCCAATGGGTAGCGTAGAGACCACTGCTAATCTAACAATTGAAGGTAGGTTCTATGTTTCATGTTCGATTATAAAAAAGTGTTTATTTCAACAAGTACTAACTAGAATCGTTTTCTTTTTTATTTAGAGCCCACAAGTGGCAATGCTGAACCACCACTCTTCGTGGAACGTTTTGAGGAGCAGAATGTGCCGCAGAAGGGCGAAATTCACTTGCCAGCCAAGGTTTCCGGCAATCCTGTGCCCGAGGTCCAATGGCTGTTCAACAACAGTCCATTGTTCCCCAGCGAGCGCATCCAGCAGATTTACGATGGCGAGAACATCGAGCTCATCATCAAGGATGCCAACCCAGAAACCGATTCGGGTGACTACAAGTGTATTGCCAGTAATCCTATAGGCAAAACATCTCATGGTGCCCGAGTGATTGTCGAGGTCGATGAAGTGACCTTCACTAAGAAACTGAAGAAGTCCATAACCATTGAGGAGGTACAATCTCTTACTCTGGAGTGCGAGACCTCTCATGTGGTAACCACCAAGTGGTTCTTCAACGGAAAGGAACTCAGTGGCATGGATCACCGTGTTGTGGTTGAGGATGGCAAGACTCATAAGTTGGTCATCAGGAACACTAACCTACGTGACTCCGGAACCTACACATGCAAGGTCAAAAAGCAAGAAACTCAATCTACTGTTGAGGTTCTGCAGCGTAAGCCCGACTTTATCAAGGTGCTTGAGGACTACGAGGTAACCGAAAAGGATACCGCCATTTTGGATGTGGAACTGACAACAGAGAGCACCGAAGTTACCTGGTACAAGGACGGCGAGAAGATCACGCCAGAGAACAAGAATGTCGAGTTCATAAAGGATGGCAAGGCACGTCGCCTGGTCATCCGCGATACCACTATCCACGATGAGGGCCAGTACACTTGCAAGATTGAGGGACAGGAGTGCAGTTGTGAGCTGGTTGTCATCGAGCTACCGCCCGAGATTGTCGAGCCGCTGAAGGATGTCTCGGTGACCAAGGGTGAGAATGCCATATTCGAGGTGGAGCTCAGCAAGGGCGATGCCCTGGTCAAATGGTTCAAGAACGGCAAGGAGATTGTGTTTAATGAGCGCATTCAGTTGGCCATCGATGGCAAGAAACAATCGCTCCGCATTGTCAAGGCCAAGCCCGAAGATGTGGGCGAATATTCCATTCAGGTGGGCGACAAGACTTCGAAGGGCAAGCTGACAGTAGAGGAGCCCCTGGTGGACTTTGTCATCCGCCTGCCGGATGTTACGCTGGCCACCAAGACCATGGATGCCGAGTTTACGGTGCAGCTGTCCCAGCCCGATGTTGAGGTGACCTGGTGCAAGAAGGGCAAACCCATCAAGCCCAACAAGAAGCACGAGGTCTTCGTGGAGGGTACCGTCCGACGACTTGTCATCCACGATGCCAACGACGAGGATGCTGGTGAGATCAGCTGCGTGGCCGAGAACGTCACGAGCAGCACTAAGCTGTGCGTCGAGGAGCTCAAACTGCCACCCGTCATTACCTCTGACAAGGATCAGACCATCAAGGTTAAGGAGAACGACGATGCCACCTTCACTGTCAAGTACACGGGCGTACCAACGCCCGAGGCCGTTTGGACCACGCGCAAGGTTGTCATACCCAAGTCAAAGCGGACAATCCCGGCCATCGATGAGCAGTCGGCCACGCTAACCATCAAGAAGGTTGTCGACGATGACGAGGGCGAGTACACCGTCAAGCTCGTCAATCCGGTGGGCGAGGCGGAGGCCAGCCTACATCTGGTCATTATGCGTAAGTAGCACAGCTTATATGGCAGTTAATTGGTGCGGAACTGAACGAAGACCCTAATTAAATACTTAGGCAAGCCAACGGCACCTGGAACACCCCAGCCCCTGGAAATAATGCACGACTCCATTACGCTCTTCTGGAAGGCGCCGGAGGACGATGGCAAGTCGGAAATTATCGAGTACATTCTGGAGTATCACGATGTTAAGGAAGAAAAGTAAGTGGGACAAGAAAATATAGTTCGAAGTTTTAACTAAAAATTGGGGTTTTAAACGGTATCTAGGAATTTGCAAGTAGTCCTAGCAACATTTCTTTAAACATAGTAATAAATAAATAATAATAATATTAATAAATAATAAATATTAAAATATTGTTATTTCCGCACTAATATTATATAAATTATCTTTAAATATTAGATAATTTGTATTATTATGAACTTACTTAAAATCAGTGTTCTTTAAGAAACAATTTTAAATAACAGGTTTTGACATTTAACCATTATGGTCCTTTTCTTATAATTCACGAATAGTCCGTGAACCCTATTCTTAATGTTCTCCTACCAACGGCTTATATGTTATCCTTTGAGTTGCGCAAGTACTATACAAGTGAAATCATTCATCCGCAGATGGACTGAAATTAGAAAGATCAAGGACACCACGTACACCATAAGCAAGCTGAAGATCGACACGGAGTACGTATTCCGGTCGATCGCCGTGAACGAGGTGGGACCATCGCCCCCCTCGCCGCTGTCGCCACCCATCCGCCTGGTTCCCAAGGTCGAGAACGAGGCGCCCAGCGTGCGGGAACCCCTGCAGGATGTGGTCAGCGAACTGGACAAGGAGGTGACGCTGTCCTGCGTGTTCGGCGGCATTCCAGAGCCCAAGGTGACGTGGAAGAGGAACGGCCAGGTGTTCGAGTCGAGCAGCATTCGCTACGAGAACCGTGTGGCAAAGTACACCATTGAAAAGACAACCATTGAGACTGAAGCCACCTACACTTGCGTGGCGACCAATGAGAAGGGCTCCGTTGAGACCTCGTGCCGCCTGAAACTGCAGCAGAAACCGGTCCTCGAGGTGGAGGACAGGTATCTGACACAGAAACTGCGCACGGGCAGCACTCTCACCATTCCAGCGACGGTCCGCGGCTATCCACAACCCACTGTGACCTGGCACAAGGAGACGGTCGAGCAGAAGACCACCAAGACGGTCTCCATCGAGACCACAGAGATTACCTCCACCTACACGGTTAAGAAGGTGACCCGCGAGCACTCCGGCAAGTACAAGGTTACGGCCACCAACGAATCCGGCTCTACGTATGTGGAGTGCACGGTTCAGGTGATCGACAAGCCCAGCAGACCTCAGTCCCTGGAGATCAAGGACATCAAGAAGGACTCGATCACCTTGGAATGGACACCGCCCATCGATGATGGCGGTCTGGAGATTGACAAGTATACGTTGGAGAAGTGCGACATCCAAAACAACGTGTGGATGAAGGTCTCCGACTTTGACAAAGACATTAAATCGTATGCCGTTCAGAAACTATCCATGAATGCGCAATACATGTTCCGAGTGGTGGCCGCCAATCCAATTGGCGAATCCGAGCCTACGGAAAGTGATCCTGTGACTATAACTAAGAAGTTCGGTAAGATGGAAATCCCATTATTTCCTTTTGAAAAAGTCCAAGGAATGTATTTATTTACTTTACTACATTAAATCCTAATGAATCCACAGAAAAACCATCGCCACCACGTGGTCCAACCACTGTGTCGGGCATGAACGACACCGTCTTCAACTTGGCTTGGGAGCCATCGGAAACTGATGGTGGCTCAAAGATCGTAGAGTACATTGTGGAGATAAGGGAAGAGACTGAAACCACCTACAGAAAGGTGGGCGTAACCCTGGGCACTGTCACCAATATCCATGTGGAGAAGGTGCTCAAAAACAAGGGCTATCTGTTCCGCATCTATGCGAGAAACGAGGTTGGCACCAGCGAGGCGTACGAGACCACGGAAAAGATTGTCGTGGGACGCAAGATTAGTAAGTTTTTTAAGATGTCTTTGTATTATCACAATTGCTTATTGCTTTCGCAAAATGCTTCTTTTATTTTAATCGCTACTAATGCTTAAACATGCGCAATTCTAACCCCAAAACGACAACAGCTAATGATAATGAAGATCAAGGTACGTAAGAGGAATTCTTTCCTCCCAGTTATAAAAGTTTGGAGTATATGTATACTAATGGTTATTGGTTATGTTTAATACTCAGCGCCGCCATCGCCACCTCAGAACTTGAGGGCGCCGGATGTTACCAGCCGAAGTGTCACTTTGGATTGGGAGGTGCCAGCCCGCAATGGTGGATCCGAAATTACTGGTGAAAAATTACAAGTTATATAATTAGAGCTCAACTGACTAGTTGCCTCACCCACAGGCTACTGCGTGGAGAAACGTTCCTCAACATCTACCACCTGGACAAAGGTCATCACACTGGATGCCCACCAGCTGCACTACACGATTGACAATCTGAAGGAGAAGTGCGAGTACTGGTTCCGTGTGTCTGCGGAGAATGAGGTTGGACTAGGTGCACCAGCCGTCACCGAGAGCATATCGCTCAAGACACATGCTAGTACGTTAAAATGGGTAGTCCCCTTAGAAAATTCTCATACTGATTTTGGTCCTTATTTAGCCGTACCCTCACCACCGACCGCTCCACTGGAGGCGCGCGTTCTCGCCGCCAATGCCCACATATTCGAATGGGGTATACCCGAGTCAGATGGAGGTGCGCCTCTGCTCGGCTACCACATTGCTATACGTGACATGAAGAAGACCATGTGGATCGAGGTGGGTCGTGTGCCAGCTGGCGTGCAGAAGTTCCAGATTAGAGATCTGCAGGAGAACCACGAGTACATGATTCGCATATTCGCGAAGAACGAGATTGGTCTGAGTGAACCTCTGGAATCGGAGGAGCCCTACAAGGTCATGACTGCTGGTGAGTGTCGTTTAGTCGGATATATTTTCGAGCTTTCTGTTTCAGTTTTGGGTAATTGTAAAGGTGTTTTACAGAAATGTATGCAAGTATGTATATGTGTCTTAAAGTATGCAACAGCAAACTTGGAATTAACTCCTTTTCCACTGCATACTTTTAGACAGTATATTAAAGAAATTCGAATTTTAGAATTACTTGCTTGGAGTATTGCTCCATTTCATTCTCAAAAGACTTACTACCGGTGCGGATGCAATTGTGAATCTGGCTAATTGAACAATTTGTAAAGACTTATTTATACAAAATTCTCATCCACAACCAGGTCATGAGAGCCTGCCGGATGAGCCGCGCACGGAGATGAGTTCGTGCAACACCTCCTCGTGGCTGCGGGACCACAACATGGATGCGGACATCCATTCGTATGCCCGCGGCAGGCTGCTCCAACGCGACGAGTACTTCTTCCGGCTGTGGGCGGAAATGCCCAAGAGCAAAAAGAAGAAGAGCTCCAAATAGTCGGTGAACGACAACGAAACAAGAAACACTTTAGTCGTAGGTTAAGCGTATTTCAATTGTATTTTATATACGACAAAACACTGGGGCAACCCTTTGATTTTCTAGCTTTTTGTACTTTTAGACAGGAGATGACGATATGTAAGGATGGTGTGGTGTTAATGTTGCATCCCATTGTCAGCGATGCCCACGACCCCCGATCCAAGAGTGCGAGCGAAGACAAACTTAATGCTCGGGGGCGTGGGCGTGGCTCAATGTCCAGGATGGCCACCACACCATCCAATTAATGGACATAATTTTAGATTTTTCATTTGCATAGAGTTCCTTTTTTATTGTTTTACTTTTCGCCTTATTTTTGTAAGCTGTGATAAATCTATCAAAATCGAAAGCGTCAAACGAAGCAAACAAAAAATGAAACAGAATAAAAATGCCACCAGACGGCGATCCATCGGCATCGGGCAATGGGAGCCAACGAGCCGCAGCCCTCCACCCAATCCCAATCCCAATCCCAATCCCAGCCAGCGTAACTCAATATCCTCTCGGGAGACAAAACAACAAATGGTGCAATTCGATATGAGTTATTTCTGGGGAGTGTGTTGCGAGTCGCTGGCTGCCGTTGCCTTTGTCCTGAGCTCGCCCTGGTTGAAATTTATGGCATAGGAATGTGAGGGAGAATATACTCGTGTGTCTTTAAAGTTACCAGAACTAAATAAATAAATATAATAAAATGTAACAATGAATTTTTACTGGGCCGCAGCCAATTGGGGCTTTGAAGTAAATAAATGAAATAAATTAAAGTAAATAAAAAAATGCTTGGCTTTTAAAGTGCGTTATCATTAAAATTTCATATTTTCGGAGCTACAGTTAACTGAAGGTTAAATTAACCTGTACATAACAGTTGTGTTTATTTTTGGGTCAACTGCATATGTTTACTTATTGGCTTTTATAAATTGACAAATTTAAATCTATATAAAGCTGTTGCACATTCAACATTTTAATGAATTAAACATGAATATACCTCTTAAATGCCATAAATTAGCAGAAATTTTAGACGAAAGTGGTTTTAAATCAACTGTGACCCTCAAACAATGGCCAAAGTTATCAGAGCCAAATAAATAAACAAAATAAATTAAACGATGAATTTTCAATGAATTACGGCTTCAAGTGGTTTCTGGTTTGGCGGAAGCTTTCTGGCTTCATCTGAAATCCACTAATTAATTCATTAGATCTCGCCCACTCCCCACCCCTCGACTCGGCATAACTTTTGTGGAAAACTTTTCTCCGCTAAGTTATTTCCGAATTGTTAAACTTAAAGCCCAGGTCTGGAAGGGAAAAACAAAAGCTGAAACTCGCCGGTCCACATGCGTGTGTTGTCCAGGCAATGGAAACTTATCTGGTGACAGGGCACAAATGCTGCATAAACTTTCCAGCAGAGAACTGTGTGTGCGAATTTAATTAAAGTTTTTGCGGCTGCCACTAATCAAAAGATATTATCTCCGAGATGTAACTCTCTGTGCGGCTAGACGCAGTAATTTGAGCTAACTTTTTAGCCAGAATTCCAGGACTGACTGGCTGTGAGATGCGCAGAAGGCCATAAAGCTAAAGCATATTTCCGGCACTTCAAATTGCAGGGGCAAACAAAGCGGCCAAGCAAACACACAGGGCGTAGTCTTTTTAGCCTGTTATTCAGTTATTGATACACTAAACGATCGGGAGAGCAGAGGAGGAACAGCCCAGAACGGAAATTTCATTTACTTGTTTGCTTTTTTCCTTTCTCGGGAGGGGACGGCAAACTACACTCAGTTTTCCCCACGTTGTGATTTTGCTAAATTGAAAGCTGCTAAGCTGCTTTTGACGCTTTAAAGGCGGTCTTCCTCCAGTATTTTGCCGGAATTTCCACACATTTTCAGCACACAAGTTGATACTTCTGCTTGTGCGACCCCATTAGTTATGGTTTATTAAGGTGGAGACGAGTCGGAGAGCTCTCTGCCGTAGTAATACAATTGTAAACTTGTAATAGAATTTGGCAAGTTCTGTTGAATGCATATAAAAACAAATTACACATCAACTTTATGGTGTGCACGTAGAAAATTGAGGCCCGTTCTGGTTTTTCTTTTCCTATTTTTCTTCGTTTTCTTGTCGGCCATGTCAAGGCTCGTCAAACGTGATGGCCTAGATATAAAAACAAAATCCAAAGACAGTAGAAAGTTTGCTTAATTACTTGCCAAAATAATGGAGATGAGTAAGGAAAAACAACAAAGAGATTTGCTTTCCAAATACAATTAATTATCAACTTGTGACCCTAAAGGGCCTGCTAAAACAATCCTCATATGGAATAAAGGCAGGCTACGAAAATTCCTTCAGTATTCAGATGAACATCTACTGTTTAAATTCAAATTTCCAACACAGCTAGCACAACCAAAATTTGTGATAAAATTGTTTTACTATTTCGTAAGGATATTTTATAGAAATCTAGTACAACTATTTTATGTTTCAAAATTCGTGTATGTTTGTGCCAAATTCTGGCAAGCGTTTATTTTGTAGAACTTTAGTTAGTCAGTGCCATGGGAGCCACGAGTTTGAGGCCCTATTCGGAGGCAGAGTCCAAGGCCCTTAAGCGGTTCATGAGGAGTTACAGGAGGCATTATGCCGGCATGGACGAAGAAGAGGTCAAAAGGTCGGGGGAAAATGCCTGGGGGAAGCTTTTGCCCCAGCAAAAGAAGCACTTTGAAGTGAGTTTTATCAGTGGATTAGTTTTCTAGACCGCAGATTTCATATAGTTCCGTATGCAGGTGAGACCCAGAGTTCTTGCCGTCAAGAGAAAATTGATTGTGAAAAGGAAACTGTCGACCAAGCAGAAGAAAGCCCTTTGCGGTATGCGTAGTCAAGCCAAGAAGGCCTTGATTAGGGCCAGACGAGCTCCTCCAAATCCCGTGATGAGTACCGCCTTCATAAACTTTTTGGAGGAGCACCGGAAGAAAAATGCCCACTTGACCGTCAAGAAAAGGCTACAAAAAGGCGCTATGCTTTGGTCAAAGCTCACTAAGCAACAGCAAGATCAATATCGTACGGTGGTGAGTGTGTTTATCAATTTATTTATTAGTTTATTACAATTTTTTATATTTTTAAGGGCGATAAGAGGAAGAGGAAGTAGCATAAGGGCTTTTAAATCCATGGGCTATGATTAATTGGACATAGAGTACTTTTTAGAAATTAACTGCGACACCACTTTTAAATCCTGTTAATGATATCTGTTTAATAACAAGAGAAAAAGGATAATCCAATTAAATTAATATAAAGGTTTTTATTTGCATTCATTACTGGTTGATGTAATATTAAACGCTATGAAATTCCTTCGGCTGAACTATCCAGTCTAGTTCAACAAAGAAGATGCCATAAAACGTTGATTACAATGAATGTTTATTATGCCATGGTCATAGCCCCCAATGAGTCGCTTGGCCAGACATTAGCCCTGTTAAAATATCCGCACTCATTTACGATGCGCAACACGGTTCAGTTCGACTCGGTCCCCAAATAGCTGGCTCTATATATATGTGTGTAATTGCCTGGCCAAGGAGTTTGGCCAGTATAATAAAGCCAGGAACAAGCCAAGCCGGCCCATACAGGCCACAAAATGCAGCGTCATAAAAGATATACAATAAAAAACAGACAGCTTCCGGTGCGGCTGTGCAGTGGCATCCACCGATTTCCGTTGGGCTAAAGTGAGCAAACATTTAAGGAATACACGCCATAAACGGTAGAGAATTACGGTGCCCAGTGGAATGCCACTCGCACCGAACTAAAATTCAAAGTGGATCTACACGACCATTAAGAATTCAGCTGGCGATTTTTAACGATTTAAATAACAATACAATTTCAGTTTTTTATTTCGCCCAACTATTTGCGAACGTTCGAGGAGAATCAATATGCCCGACTTTGCTGCAGGCTCCCAGCAGAGCAGCATATTGTAAATATAAAATATTTATTGCCAGATTGCACACGCATCCCACAACAGCAGTTGGTTTCATTCACCGGCACCTTCCTGCACAGAAAAGAAATGCTAGGGAAATCAATTTAATACAAATTGATTGAACTTACGTTTTAACACGAAATTTCGCATCTCAGGGAGGTAAAAAATATTTGAAAATCTGTAAAGGCTTTAATGTATATATATAAAACGGTGTCTTAAAAGCTATGGAATCAATTAATAGCCCTAACATAGAAATCTAAACTTGTATCCCAATATTTTTCGTAGGACAATATAATTTAATTGAGCAGAAATGCGATTCAATTAAACGAAACCCAGGAGTACAAAACTTCTTTCTGTGCAGCTGATTCTTTTCAGTGGCAGATATGCAGCACACCCTATCCATTCAGGCGCTTCCTTCCCATTGAATGCATAGCATTGAAAGCATTCGCAGCAAGAACATGCCAATTTTTCCCAGCCATCCTCTTTTTCTCTGCTTGCATTTGGTGGCCACACTTTGAGGCAATTCATAACATTTACCAGAAATCCAATTTAAAATTTATTAGAGACATTTCTGTACAAATTAACAGCAAATTTCATTGCACTCTTTCGCCCGCGCTGCCATTTAAAAATCAAGAGTGCTGAAAATTAAATTTCACAAACTGTTTTCGTATGAAGAGGTGGAGGAGTAGCTGCTGCCATGTAAAGACTTTTGGTGGCTTCCGTCGGTCGGGCCACCCAAAAACTAATGAAAGTTCCCTACCCTTTAACCCCCTAACCCCTGGCCACCTCTGGAAACGTACTTCCTTCACACATCTGATGACATCGTGTGCTGAGCACACACACACTAAACCGAAAAGTCATGCAGACTTTTCGGAGGCGAAGTAATTAAAGTCAATTGCCATTCTGCCAAAATGCGCTCAACGTGGCGTATACGTAATGCGATTGGGGTAAGGCTCCTTCCCCTCTTTCCCCCTCATTTCCCCCTGTCAACAGCATTAGCTTCGTTGACTTTCCAGCTATTAGCAAACACCACAAAACTGTGTTATAATTTATTAGAAAACAGTCAGTCAAAATTCAACTTGTGAAAAGGTTATGGCCTTAGAACGCTGAAAGTAGCTACAATCCTAAGCCTTATTTGTAATTTTGATTTCATAATTTTGTTTTGTGCTGCGTTCAACGATTTGGCTTTACATCCGGCAATCTAGGTGCTATCCCAAATAAAGTCGGATGTTTTATGACTTTGTAATGTCATCGTAAAAGTTATGCTTGTGGCCAAAACCAAAAACCGACAGCCATTTGCATTTATCCGCCAGCAACTTTGTTATGTGTCTGTTCTGGAGTTTGGTTGATTAGCTCATTATAGAGTGTTTGACATTTACGAGCATATTTTTTGGCGAGTGGAGATAATGTTTGGGCACACTTTTGAATATGAATCCACAACTGGAAAAAGACGAACAGGATGGGCTATTACTTAAAGTTGCGTATCTTGTGAAAATGATAAGATATTTATGGCTAGCTCGTAAAGTACTTGGGTTTACTTTACGGCATTATTGAAGGAAATATTAAATTGTAGTTGTATTGATAAACACATTACTCCATTGCAAACTATAAGAATAAATAAATAATTACTGAAAATATTCTCACTTTATTTAAACTTAACGTTGATATATTCGTTCAGAGAATCGCTATCCGGAATAATATTCCTCGTATCCCAGCCACATCATACATATTTAATAGCAGTTCCTCGCCTTATTTGGTCTGACCTGTTTTTTATTGGTTAATATTTTCCATAATTCACGAAAAATCCCCGCTGAATGAGGTGAAATATATTTTTGCGCCCGCAAGAATTTTCCATGCAAATGCCGCAGAAGTTTCTGCATCAGCTGCCATTGATATATTCTTTTTGGCCCGCAGTAATTTTTCCGCGCTTGCAACTCCGCCATCAGTCAGATGTTCCGGCCACGGTGACTTAATTTCGCTGTAAGTTCCATTGGCCTTTGCATAAATGCATTTTGATGCGGTTTGCCGGCACACGAGGGACGCTAAACAGATTTGCACCTTGCATATATAAAGTCAAATTTACAAGTTCGCTACGAAAATTGCAACGCAAAATATGCAAATGACAATGGGTGTCCTGTGTGAAAATGTAGCTGCCGAATGGGGGTCATGGCGAGCCCGAAAAAATTCCTTAAATTTTTTGAACTTGGCCAGCTACCGTCTGGCTGGAAAGCAGCTGAAAATGAAGTTGTTTTCCGAAAGGAGGAGTGGGGTTAATGTGGATACGTGTTGGGCATTGCCAAAGATAAGTAAATGGTGAACTTAGTTCTGCCTTCCAGCTGCACAAGTGCACTGTGCACTATGGCAATGTTTCTGTTTACGTGCTCAGCTCAGCTGCTTAAAATGCACTCCTCGGCATCGGCATACGGTGCGTATGCGTGTTGTCGCTCGCTCTGCTCGAATCGAACGTTCTAATGTTTTGCAGCACATTAAATTGGCAATATGGCTTTATTGTTCTCAGATCCCCCATCGACTCCACATCCTCTGGCAGCGATTTATGCTGTCACATTTAGTGGGTGAGTTCGGCGGAGGCAGCAGCAATTCAGACGAGGAGCCGAGCAGCAAGTGTGAGCGGCGCCTGTGGGGCCATAACAACTATACTCACAGTCAAACATACAGTCAGCGGTAGTGCTGACAAATCAGCATTTGGCTGACATATCAGACTTATACTTGGCCTTTTTTAGAGTTATTTAAGAGTGGATCTACATCATAGGCTAAGCCCTACATATCCTATATTAGCATGTCTGAAAGTTATAGTAAATTTATCAGTGCTTTTCTCTAGTTATAAATATATTTATTAAAATAATATAAACTAACGAGTGGTTTTATGTACAAAATAGGTTTGTAATAATAACATAGGTTGGCATTTCAATTTTTTATTAATTTAAATAGAAACGGGATGCTCAAGAATTCGCGTTTTTTATTTTTGCTAGGATGCAACTGCTTAAATTTCAGGTTATTCACAAACTCAGTGATTTTGGCAACCACAGAAGCACGCTAAGAAATTGTTAGTTATGATTCTCAAGAATTCGCGCTTCCATTTTCTTTTCATTTACAAAGTCTGGAGCTCTAGGAAATACTATCCAGTAACCTTTGTGTAAAATGATTTGAATGCTTTTAACTTGCAGTTAATTTGGTATTAGACAACCGAATCAGCTAGTTTTGGCCAACACTGCCAGCCGGACCCCCACACCCTCAGCCATTCACATCGAAGCGTGTGACTCGACTGGAGTCGCTGCGTCTGCCCGAGGCTTCCATTGGCAAGACATAAAACGTGGCACTCGATGATGCCTATGGGCGACTTCGCACATCGGGTTAGACGTATATATCTATACGTACAGTTAGTGGTGGTTGGTTGCCTACGAGCATTGCCGGTCTGGCCCAAACATCACTTCACAACTGCCAAGCCGAGCACATCCGGTTTCCGTTAGTTGTGCAAGTCCGCCCCGCCCAGTGCCACGCCCCCCTGACTGCAGCACCTGTCTGTCAGTTGGGCTGATGTTACTTCAGGTAATATCATTTAGCCTTGTCCTGGGCGCACACGAATATGTTGGGAAAATATTATCTCGTTACAATGTTAAAAAGTACGGGAGTGTAGGTACGGTGGACTTTTTGCCCTGGCTTCTATTATTTTTTTTCCCTTTTACCATTTTGGTTCGCCACCATTTTGCTTCTCGCCTAGTTTGCCTTTGGCTTATGAGCGGAAGTACGTGTCGCTCGTCTCAAAAGAGCCCAGGATGTGCAAGAAAAAAATAGAGAAAATATAGAAAAAACTACGCACATTTGCCAACACCACCACAGGGGATAAATATGTGTGGTGGGTGCTGCGGGGTCGTGGGAGATGTTTAAATTTGATTTCAAGTGCTAGCATTTTGATGGCAAAATAAGTGAATGCGTGTTGCGGCAGCTTACGTGTCCTTGTTATGGCCACAACTTCCAGTTCCAGCTGAAAGTTTGAGGCGAGTCGAGAGCATTTAGGGGAACCTTAAGTTTAGTTTTGGAACAGGTTAAGACAAGTGAGCTTAAAGCGAAAGATAAGACTGCTGGAAAACTTCAATCAACCGCTGGGGAATTCAGCAAGTTTCCTCAGTGATTTTCAAAACTAAAAGTAAGTTGGAGATAAATCCCAATTTTCAGAGCGATAAAATGTGCATTGGTTTGGCCAACTTAGCTTCATTCAATAACTGACCAAAGCAGTCCATTCAATTCGTGTGATTATGGTAACAAAGTTGGGGATTTCAAGCTATCTCATTGATTTTT